AATCGCCAGTGGCTAGGGCCAGGGTTGGAACATTGCACATGGGGTGCTGGCAGACGGGGACAGCTGGCTGTCCAGGGAGGGGGACGCCGACCGGCAGCATTTGCTAATAATGCCCATGGCATAAACATTCCCAGCACGGCCAACCTCGAGCGACCTCCTTGACGTTGCTGAACACGGAATCGGGAGAAGATGCTAACAGTCAGCTCTCCGAGCCGGTGTGAGCCGGCTCTGACGCACTCCAGCACGCACTACGGAGTTGCCGAACACACTAATGGAACAAATGGTTATTTCCGTGAGTTGACAGGCTCTTTTTGAGGATGTAACTCCAGGAACTTGGGGTCTGAACTCACGTTTCTCCAAAACCCAGGAAGTTTCTACTAAGGAACAGGATGTCACACATGGACAGGCGACTACCGCGCTGGAAGCCGACCGAGTACAGAAAGGGCAACACAGTGAAAGCGAAAGCTCCACACATCGGCCAGACACCGAAAGCAGAGCCCTCAGAAGGACTTATGACCCCGGCGAGAGCCCGGACGAGCCCCTGCCTCTCGTCACCAGCCGCCAGCTGGAGGGCTTGAGTTCTAAGGCCCTTCCCGCCCTGACCGTCTACGCGGTTAAGAATTGAGACGGGTCCCAAGGAGCCTCTATTCCACTCTGCTTTGAAAACACTCAACTTAAAATACCTTTTTAAAGCCCAACTAAATCAAACTTCGATTCCATGGACTCTATCGTACTCCAAGCTCGTGTTCTGGGAAGACCCCTGCCTCCCCCAGGGTGAGATCCACTAGCGCTCATGGAACCAGAAACCACCCGGAGCTCGCTGGGCCACCACGGCGGGCCCCACGGCCAGGCATCCCCTGTGAGATCAGGGGCCAAGCGGCCCTGGGCTTCCCTGGTTCCCTTCCTACACGCGACCCACATGAAAAAGACAGACAGAGAGACAGACAGACGGTCAGACAGGGGAGAATGCCTGGAGAAGATTCACAGCAAGGACTCTCCTCGGAGTGGTGGAAAGGGAGACTGAGAGTGTAAAAGCTGTGCACTTTTACAAAAATTCCAAGGAGACCTAAACATTTTAAATGCTGCAGGAAAACAACAGTCACCCTCGATGGTGGGCAGAAGGATGCCTTCCCCTTTTCCCAAAGATGTCCACGCCCCAGCTCCGGAAACGGGGAGCACGTTCGGTGACTCGGCAAAGGGAAGTACGGGTTGCAGCCGGAGCTGAGATTACTAACCAGCACCCTGGAGATGAGCGATCATCCTGGGCTATCCAGATGCCCAGCATAACCACAGGGGCCCTTCCTCACAAGGGGACGAGTTGGGCAGAAAAAGGGAGAAGCAGGGAGATGGCAGCCTGAGACAGGCACAGCCTGAGACAGGCGCGGCCTGACGGTGCTGGCTTTGCAGATGGAGGATGGGGCCACAAGCCGAGGGGCGCGAGCAGCCTCTAGAAGCTGGAAAGGCGAGGAAACCTACCCTCCCTGGAGCCTCCAGAAGGGACGGAGCCCTGCCAGCACTTTGACTCTAGCCCAGGGAGACCCAGTGCTGACCTCTGCCGTCCAGAACTGTAACATAACAAACTTGTGTTGTTTTCAAACAAGTGTATGGTAGTTTGTTATACAAGTGACAGGAAACAAATGTACCTCATTTTGGCCCACACCCTCAGGCCCCCTGGTCCCTGACCCTAACTCGGGGACTGCCTGACCCGGGAGAGGCTCCTGCTCCTCTCGGGGCCTCGGCACCCCCACCTGTGCCACGGGCACTCCCATCTCGGTGCTCCTGGCCCCTGAGGGCCCACGGCTCGTGCTACTTGAGGGGACACGGATTTGCTCGGTGGCTCCTGCCCCCAGGCACAGCTGCCGTGGGCTGGATCCCCAAAGGAGGCCGACAGCCCTTCTCAATGTCCTGACATGGTTACACCCTCGTTTCCAGAGGAGACTGGGCGAAAAGCGCGTGGCTGGAGCTGCTGAGCCCGTGCCCACCTGGGACACATAAGAAACCAGTCCCGAACGCCTGCCGCCAGCGTGAGAGGCTCGGGGCTAACATGCAGAAAAGCCACCACAGGGTCCGTCCGCGTGGCCATCGGAAGCCCCAGAGATTCACTGTGAAGGACCCTCAGACAAAAGGCGGGCCAGCAAGCCCAGGAAGGGGGCTGCAAGCCCACAGGTGAGGTCAGCCCCAGCCGGACTGTCAACGTGGGGAACCACTAGGCTGGGAACACCCGGCTGTGGGGACATGTAAACAGAGAATCGCCGGTCCCATGTGCTTAGTCCTGCACCTGAGCATTCTCGAAGGCCACTCTGGGCCAGGTGTGTGTGGTGGTGGGGGGGGGAGTGATAGCAAGGTGCACAAACAAGTACAGGAAGGCCCTGCCTGCGACACAGCACGATGGCAGGAGGCAGAGTGAGGCGAGGGTGACAGGACCACCCAGGGCGGGGCCAGAGCCCCAGCAGTTCCGACTGATATGAGAGGAACCCCATCAGGGTGGCCCTGACAAGCCAGCAGTAAATGACAGGTGGCCCCAAACAGCCACATCCCCCACAGTGGGAGCCCAGCTGACGTGTATTCTAAACATCTTCTAGGATCAAAGGACACAGAAGAGAAACAAAAATAGAAGCAGAAAACAGTCCCATCAGCAACTGAGCAGCACTGAGGAACCGGAGGGAGTCGGAGGAGCCTGATGCACAGAGACTCGTTTGCCCTGAGGCAGCCCCGCCCCACCCCGCCCTGCCCCGCCCCGCCCCACCCCTGGTGTGACGTCCACTGCCGGCCTTGAGCTGACGCTGCAAGGAGGCCCCGGGAAGGCTCCACGCGTCCACCTTTCCTCCAGCCTCATTAGGGCTGAGTGGGGGAGCGTGTGCCACACACACAAGCTGGTGCTGCTGTCATCTCACCGTCCTTCGTCACGCTCTACAAGAATCACATTTGCACACGTCTCTCTCACCCTGGGGAGCTCACAGGATCTGAGACGCACTAGGACTGACACCCGCGTTTATGAATGGAATGAAATAAATGGGGGGAGAGAGGACTGATGGGGTGGGCGAGGGCAGGGGGTGCAGTCAGGTGTAGTAAGTGGCGGAACTGTGGCCCGGATTTCAGACCGAGGGTGCTGCGTGCAGTTACGCGGTAAGTGCACAGCACCAAGATGCCCAAGGAGACGAAAGATAATGAACTCCACCCCGAGCTCCACCCGCTGAACTGTGAGCCCTTGGACCTACAGCCCCCAGAACCCTGACGGGCCCAACCGTGCTCCACGCCTCACTCCCCGCTTCTGGAAAATGGGGCAGCAGCTGCATCTAGGTGGTGAGGGGGCATTTGTTCTCAGCTCCCAGTGTCCTCTGGGAGTCTGGAGGGAGCTACACTGGCCTCCACCTCATACTGGCCTTTCATCCCCTCCCCTTTGCTCACTCCACCCTGAGGACGCACCCGAGTGGCTAAGTAGGGAAGAGAGAAAACGGGAATGTTAGGCGCAGCTGCACCCTTCCTCCTCTCCGCAGCGAGCTGCCCCTCCAGGGGCTGGCCCCTCCCCCCGTGTGACCTTGTGAGGTGACCCACCCTGCGCCTGAGGTGTGGTGGGGAAGTCTGTCCAGCTCCAGACTGGACTAGAAAGAAATATCAACACATACCAAAGAACTGAAATCATACAGAGTAGATATAACCAAAGTAAAAATGCTAGTAATCAAAAACAAAGAGATAACCAGAAAAATACCCTACATGTTTTGAATGAATCAAGACATGTCTAAATAATCCATGGCTCAAAAGAAGAAATCACAGTGGAAGTAAGAAAATACTTTAGCAGAAGCAAATGAACTATTAACACATCGATACAAACAGAGCACTGACCAGAGGGAAACGTTCACCCTTAAACTGTATAACAAGACAACGACTGTGAGAGAACAGCAACAAACAGGAGTTTGTAAAAATACATACAGATACAACAGGAAATGATAGCAAGTTAAACTCACAGAAAGTAGAATGAAAGAAAGAATAACAGTAGGAGTGGAAATCAATTACGGAGAAAAAAAATATACAAGACCAAAAGTTAGCCCTTTGAAATAGTACACAATTGATCAGTTTCTAGTGAGACCAGTCAAAAACCAGGGAAAACACACATCGCCGGTATCGGGAACGAGAACAGAGACAGCCCCGAAGATCATACAGCCTTTAAGTTATAATAAGAGGATATTATATTTATACAATTTCATACCAACAAATTTGAAATCTAGATAAAATGGTAGAATTCCTCGGAAAAATACAACTTGCAAAATGGATACACAAAAAAATAGAAAATCTGACATGAAAAATTTTTTTCAACTGAATCCATAATCTAAAATCTTTCAGCTCCATGCTCAGAAGCCTTCACTGGTAAGTTCTCCTTAGTACGTGAGGAAGCAACACCACCCACCCAACACCAGCTCCGCCACAGACCAGAAAAGGGGGCACGGCGTCTGTCCTGGACGCCAGGCTCCGGCGAGGCTGTTGCCAGAAAGGAAGTTCACCAAGTCCTCCTTCACAAAGCCCTGCACAAAACAGTAATAAACTGAACCCAGTGATCCGTAGAGAGACCATCTATCCTGACCACGCAGGATTTGCTCCAGGAATGTTGGAGGGTTGAACACGCAAACCAGTCGCTGCGGGAATCGCCCAGGGCTACTGTGAGAGAACAGGGTGAAAACACAGCCCCGCAGGAGCCCGGGGCGCTGACCCATCAGCCCCCTCCAGCCCCGCACGGGGAGCATCTCTTCCGCCACATCGGCCTGGCCGTGTTGCCGTGGGTTTGTGCGAGGGCCACCTGCTAGAGCCTGCTTGACTCGGAGAAGTGGGAGGGGCCGGAGAAACCTCCCCAGCAGGCCCCCACGGGCGCACACTCTCTGGGCTGTTTTCTCTCTGACAGTGACCGCGGTCGCCTTCCCCCTTCACGCCTTGCTCCGTGAGCCCGAGGAGCCACCGGGATGGACAGTTCTCTAGGGGGAGGCATCACCTGGACCCGGTATGCTCACCTGAGAGGCAGGAATGGGTCCCCCTGCCTTTTGAATGCTCTTTCCAGCCTCTCCTGGGTCGTCTTGGCATTCCCACCAGGCGACGAGAATTTCAAAGGCGTCCTGCTGGCCTCTGGGCCGTGGTCCATGGCGGTGCTGTCCCCCGAAAGACCTCTGCCCCTGCCGCTCCCCCTCTGTGGCAGCCCTTGGCTCGGCAGGCAAGGGGGGCTGTTGGGTGTGCCCCTGTGCTTTTCTGCGGTGGGCTTGCTGAGCTGGCCCGGGGGGCTCCTGGCAGTGGAGCCGGTGCTGGAAGCCAGGCCCTCCTGTGGGGCGGGACAGGTCAGGGTGCGGGCGGACAGCTCGGGGGCTCTGCAGCCCTCCTCCTCCTCGTGGGGCTGAGCCATGCCACTCAAGACCAGCGGCCGCCTCAGGGAGCGCTTGCGGAGCGAGTCCTGAAAGGGACGAGGACAGACGCAGTGAGGAATCCCTTCTGCGAGGCGGGAACACACTTGATGCCACTTCAAGCATTTGCCCACGATGCTCCCTCCCCCAGGAAAGCCTTTCCCCATCCCCAGGTTCTCCCCTTAAAGTCCCACCCACTCCTTCATGGGATACTCAAAGGCTACTGCTTCCACAATGCATCCCGCGCCCCACCTGCGTAAACCCCAGGAGTCCTTCTCCCTCACCCGGACAGGGGCGGGGGCAGAAGGGAAAGGCAGGGCCCCAGGGTCGGGCCTGGGCTCCAGCTTCTGTGTCCCTGCCCACCCGCTGGGTCCCCTTGGCAAGTTCCAGCACTTCTCTGTCCCTCACTTGCCTGCCCTTTGACCCAACCTGTCCACAAGCCACTGTCTGCAATTTCTGAATCCCAGAGCACAGATTCTCTTGGAATCCTGTAACAAATTCTTCAAACTGCTTTGAGGTTACTTAATCTTTTCTTAAGTGTGACTATTCAGGTTTAGCTGCAGTAAATGCTTTTGTTCTGCAAAGACCACACGACACGTAACTGCAGGCATTATACGGCATGTGGTTTATGTGATGTATTTCTTTTCTGGGAAAAAACTCTACGTTCCAGAACACACGTGGCCCAAAGGTTCTGGAGCAGGGCCTGGGGACCCGTGGTGCCCGTCTCCCGTGGCCTCGTGGCGAGGGTTAGAGCCGAGGCCCACACACGGCCCCGGCACACGGCCCCGGCCCACAGCCAGCCCCGTCACTCACGAATGCTCACCGCCGTGTGCACCTCCCCTAAGGCCCGTCCCCCGCCCCTGCCACAGACCAGGAGTGGCGACAGCCATCCTTCACTCATCTCCAGGGTCCACGGAGCTCCCGGCTCGGCGCCCCACACCTAGCAGGCACCGAGATTTGCCTAGTTTCTGAAACAAAGGAATTCCACAGGAGTCGACTGGTACGTCCTTTGTTCCAGCCACGATCAACTGATGAAATGGTTAAGTCACGTCGTTACCGATCCTGGCTGCAGAGGCAGGGGACAGAAATATACCTGCCAGGCTTTTCCGGAAGCTCTCAGCATTTCCAGAATCAACCCTGAGCCAAAGGGTGAAGCCGGTGCGGGAAGAAGAGCTCCTTCTGTGGCGTTCTTGCCGGGCGGAAATTACTAGACACCATGAGCCTCCTCCAAAAGCCACTCAGGGCACCCCCGCCACAGCTCGAGGAAAACGTGAGTCACCACTCCCAAAGCGACTCAACCTCTGGCCTCAGGCGGGCGGGGTGCCCGGCCTCTTACTCATCCTTCTGGAGCTCGGAGCCGATCCAGCCGTGCAGAATGAGGCAATATCCAGCGCGTCTTGCTCTTCTCTCGGGGGCCACCGGAAAGTATGGCCGGGGCGCCCAGGCCCACGAAGCACCTCCAGGAAACCTGGGGGAGTTCTGCAGTGGCCCGTGCTTTGCTGCCCTCTGCTGGACGCAGATGCCCAGAGGGAAGGCGCACAGGACAACTGATGGAAGGAGTTTCAGACAAATTCTTGGTGGTGAAGCCGACGTGGCCGTCACCCTCGGCGGTTGTGAAGGGGCCTCTGCTGCCCAGACTTCATCACCAGGCTGCCATGGCAGGGCAGGACCCTGGAGCCCGGCCGGACCACCGATTCTCGGTGTGGTCCGCCAGCCTCAGAGGGTCCCAAATCCTTCTGGGAGCCGAAGCCACTTCCATGACAATAACGTGACGAGTGGGCCTTTCTCTCTGTGTCGACACGCAGTGGGGGTATGCCTGCTGCCGGTCCTTAGCAGGAATCCAGGCAGGGACCTGACGGGCACCCCTGGTACTCACCCGCTTGCAAGGAAAATGCATGAGGAAAATGCTGATGCCGATAGTGTGGAAGCTCAGCCATGAGCATTATCACTAAATACTCTTCAACTGTGACCCCACAGTGCCCACCTCGTTAACATTCCGTGACAAAATCAGACGCGTGAGTGTTCTGCCCCACCCACAGGGCGACACCCGTCTCGAGGAAAGCACTCATCACAGGTCTGAGTGGTGAGCTGGACCGGCGATTTCTTTTCACGAGACCACTGAGCGGGCCAGCTGTGGTCACGCGGACGTGGGGGTCTGGCGGGCACTTCCCGAAAACACATGAGGCCTGTCCCTTCCAAGGGAATAAATAAGTGCTGTACTGTCGTCAGTGACAAACTACAGGCGTCCAGGTAACAATTACTCTTCGGGGAAACTTGGGGTCTGTCGCTGTGAGCTGGAGACTTCTCAGTCCTTAAAAACTCTTCTGACGGGTTGGGTGGTAACACCAAGAGATGTGACTTTTTAAAATTCTTTTGTGTAAGGAAATGGGTCAATATTCAGAAGATAACTCAGTAAACCAACATTTCCCAAACGACAGTGGTAGAGAGTTCACACTCAAAGTGAGAGCCAGACTGACAGAAACGGACAGAAGTTCACCGGTGCGTCTTCAGACTCCACCGGACAGACTACAACCCGCCCAGTCTGGGTGTGGGGTCAAGGAATACCTCGAGTTTCCTAAAAACGCCATTAAAATGCTTCTCCCTCTTCCAAGCATGTATCTGCATGAGGTCAGATCTTCATCTACTTCAACCGAAATACCGAAACCCAGCACCTGAACGCAGAAGCAAGCATGAGACTTGGACAATCTTCTACTGCGCCAGACGTGAAGGAGGTTTGCAAAAATGTAAAATGGTGCTCCTCGCCTCACTACTTTTTTTGTTTTGGAAAAAATAGGGTTTTTTTAATATGTTATTTGTGTTCAAGGTAATGGATTTACTATTGCTGTTTTTAATGATTTAACTAGTCAGTCTTTCTGTACTTTCTCAGTTTTAATTTCTATACTTGATCTTAGCCAAAAGGCCGAGAAGTGATCAGTTTTCATTTCTGATACAGTAAATGTCCACGGATACAAGACACATAAAAGAAACCCCTCTGGACTCGAAACTCGAAATCAGACAGGAAGCCCTTCCACAGCGCCCCCAGCAGAGGGGGCGCCTGGCTTCGCCTGCACACGGCTGGCCTTGTTTCTTCCCAAAAGGCCCCTGCCACCGCTGAGGGGCTCTGACGGGCTGCGAGCCGCTGCCCCAGCCCCGCCCGCTGGCCCTGGCTGTGCCCCCTGGAGCCGCGGAGCGAGCCTGCCCACCGAGTCCAACAGAGGACCATGCACCGCGTCCTGGGCCGTCCGGGGCTCACAGCCTGTGCTCACACCAGACAGCACACAGGGCTCCTCTCACTCACACTGCAGCCTGCCCGCCGGAGCAGCAGCCCACGGTGCATCCAGGCTTGGAAAGCACAAGGGCACCGAGATCAGCTGGCGACATCTGCCACGGGCACGGAGGCAGGCAGTGGCATGGAGCAGCTGCCTGAGAGCCATGCATTCACCATTCTGAGGCGACACCAGTCCTACCTCCAGGCTGGGAGAACGCTCTCTGCTCCGTCCCACCTCCCCCCAGCCGCCTCCTCCCAAGATGAAATAAATACTCCCAGATCCCTTTGGAGATTTCCTCCAGACTCTCCATCCTCCCGGTTCCTTTCCTCTCTCTGGACACGGTCCGGCTTATGAATGTCCTCCTTCAAGTACCAGACACCTGGGATGGGGCATGATGCCGAGGTGCGGCCTGAACCCCACAGAGGAGAGCAGGCAGACCCTCGCCTCCCTGACCTGGCCGCTGAGACCACGGCACGACCGTTTCAGAGCCACAGGACCCCAGAACACAAAGGGGGCGGAGACACCCATCTAGCAGATGCAGCCACGGCCGAGAGACACAGACAGTGCCTGAAAACCTCATGGGACGGGGGCAGGGGCAGGGAGGGGTCCGCGTCTCCCACAGGCAGGGTCTCTGCACGACCAGCGCCCACAGCCGCTGCGCACACCCAACCGTGCGGCAGGCGAGAGCAGAGATGACGCACGCCAGCCGGCCGGGCGTGGACGCACACCACCCAGCTTTGGTTCGCTGAGGCGCCCGCTCGGCCACTACCGCACTTCGAGACTGCGGTTGGGTTCCACTTTGTCATTTCTCAGAGCCCTCCGAAACTCACTCTCTGCGCTGGTTTAGCCTCCCCACCTCAGGGGACCCTCCCTACCACAGGCCCTCCTTAAGGGACACTGTGAAACAACAATGATCAATGTTTAGAATGCTTTTTTAGGCAACACAAATAAAACTACAAAGATTGGCATTTCGCCCTGGCTGGCGTAGCTCAGTGGATTGAGCGTGGGCTGCAAACCAAAGCATCGCAGGTTCGATTCCCAGTCAGGGCACATGCCTGGGTTGTAGGCCACGGCCCCCAGCAACCGCACACTGATGTTTCTCTCTCTCTCTCTCTCTCTCTCTCTCTCTCTCTCTCTCTTTCTCCCTCCCTTCCCCCTCTAAAAATAAATAAATAAAATCTTTTAAAAAATTGTTCTTAAAAAAAGATTGGCATTTCTTTTTCCCTGTTAAGTATCATGTTTCAAACAACAAAAAAGAAGTTCCCCAGGCTTGGATGAGTTCCCCCACTCCCGAATGGCAAGGATAAAGCTGGGTAGACGTGTCCTCACCCGGCAAAGCAGCAGAAAACCACGGCATCCGCCTCACTGGCATCATGGGTAAACTGAGGCAGGGAAGGGGATCAGGACGGCCCATGCCCCACAAGGAGCTGACGGCAGAGCCAGGGAGAACAGAGGGGTGTCCCTCCACTCCCCGCACACAGACCCCGCCCGCCCCCTGAGCTCTCTGTGGGGTGCCCCCAGGTGGACACCCGGCCGGTTCCCACGGTTCCCACGGTTCCCACTCCCGGGCTGACAGGAAGGAGCAACGACCTGCGGGGCGCTGGCGGTGGGCCCGGCCATCATGCCCCGGACAATCAGGCCCGGCTTCGGCCTGGCCTTCTCCCCGGCCCGCTTCGTGTCCAGGGGCGGCTCTGACGACAGGGGGGGCCTGTCCGCCTTCTCCCACGCGGGGGCCGAGGCCGGAGGGCTTTCAGCCGGGAGGGCCTGCGCCGGCTTACTTCTGTGTGGGGGCCTCTTGGATGACACCACGTTGCCAAGCACGTCCCCGTCGTGACTGTCGTGTCTGCAAAACAGGGGACAGTATTTCCACTGACACAGATTCCTCGACAGGAGCCACTAACGACGACAATACATTGCACCTTCAGCAGGCGCTCACAACGGGCCCATTCACACATCCGTGGTGACTCCCGGCAGCCCGTGCTCCACCGTTAAAGGCGAGGAATAGAAAACGCTTGCGCACCAGGGCACACCCAGCCGACAAGAAGAGGAGGCGGCCGGGAGACGAGAAACAAAACCAGAGCTGATGACCCACAGGACAGGGCTCCCTACGCTCTCCACTAGAGAGGGCCCCCTTATTCTAGACCCAGCGGGCTACGGAGCACTGCAGCCCTTCCACTCGGGCCAGGACACGCGGAGCCCAGTCGTGCCACGTGCCATGGGGACCGCAGCACACCCGGCCTTCCCGGCGGTGTGGTGAAGGGTCAGGAAGGTCGGGCATGCCAACGGCTCCGTTTTCCGGGTTGCCTGGCACTGAAAGAATGGAAGACAGAGAAAGAGAGCAAGAGGTGGAAGAGACAGAGCAGCAAGGAGGGGGAAAGAACGAGAATGAGAAGGGGGCGGGGACCCGGGGAAAGAGGACTTGACCTGCGATCACGCAGAGCCAGCACCCCTGACGCAGGCCGGGCTGCCTTCTGCACCGACTTGGGCGAGACGGCGTGCCGACACCTGCTGTGCCGAGCCGCTTACCACGCACCGGGCCACGTACTGGGCCACGCACGAGAGCAGTGGGCACGTGCGCAATGGCAGGGGAGTGTCGAGCAGAGGAAGGGTCTGGAACCAGCCCGGGACAATCTAGAAGGGCTGAGTCGGGAAGAACGGCAGGCAGGCGGTGAGCAGCAGCAGGCCCCAGGCTCCAGCTGGGAGCCTGTAACAGCCGCCCGTGCCTGGGTGAGCGGCAGGGACCGACCGTAGAAAGGGCTTTGTGAGTTAGCCTAAGGAGTCCGGATTTCACCCTAGGAGCTACAGGGAACACTGAAGGCCTCTCAGGGCGGAGCAGCCTGGCAGACTTGTCTGGGGAAAGCTCGTGCTATCCTAGGTCCCGGATGCATTCATGGAGGCCACTGGAGCCCCGGAAACGAGGGGAGAGCCCCGGTCTTCCAGAGGAAACAGGACAGAGTTCACCCTCATCAAGGACTCCAAGGTGCAGAACGAATAGGCAGGGAAGAGTCAAGGACAACAGCCAAGTCTGGGCTTGGACAACTGGGTGGAACTCAGGCGCGTCAAAGACCGGACTGCAGTTTTTTATCATTTCAGAAATATTTCATTTCCCAGCCAGGCAGTAAGTGTCTGTGAAGGAGGAAGCATCTTCCTCATTCCCCCCTCGTTAACTTGCCCATCTTAAGCCTGGAGTTAACGTTTTAACGGTCATCGCCTTCTGGCATCTTGACGCCTGCACCCCCCAGCGCTGGCTCCCCCCGGAAAGAGAAAGGCGTTTGGACAGGCTGGGGGAGGCGAGGCTCCCTCTCAGAGGCCTCACGCGGAGTGTTAGGGTGGTAATGTGATAGGATGGTTTTCCAAATAACTGGGGATCAACCAAGAATGCCAATTTATTTTCTTCCTAGGAGTTCGTAGGGCCTTATTTTTCAGATTTTTTCCCATTTCTCCAGTGTTTTGTTGCCTTTAAAAAAATGCTAACAAGTCCTGGCTGGTGTGGCTCAGTGGACTGAGTGCCAGCCTCCAAACCAAAAAGTCACAGGTTCAATTCCCAGTCAGGGCACATGCCTGGGTTGCAGGCCAGGCCCCTGGTTGGGGAATGCAAGAATCTGATGTTTCTCTCCCTCTCGACGTCCCCTCCTTTCTCGAGAAATAAATACATAAAATATTTAAAAATAAATAAATGCTAACAAAACAAGCCCCTGGACCTTATAAATCATGAAATTTAAAATGGAGATCACATGGAGGGTTCTCAGCAGGAAGGGGTGGGGGGAGAATGGGGGAAAAGGTACAGGGAACAAGAAGCATAAATGACAGGTACAAAATACACAGGGGGAGGTTAAGGAAAGCATGGGAAATGGAGAAGCCAAAGAACTTATATGTGCGACCCATGGACATGAACTAAAGTGGGGGAATGCTGGTGGGAAGTGGGGTGCAGAGCAGAGGCGGACAAAGGGGAGGAAAAAAAACGGGACAACTGTAACAGCATCATCAATAAAATACACTTAAAAAAATTAAACACTTTAAGTCATCGGCATCCCCATCACACAGTGGCCCGTCCCCTGGGCCTCCGGAGGAGGGCACCAGGGCTCCGCCGCGGGGGTTCTGCAAGCGCAGAGTGCGGAGGGCTGGACGACGGCCCCACAGAGACGTCCACATCCCGGCCCCCGGAACCTTGTGTGGAGAAGGGACCTTGCAGGTGTGATCAGCTACGGATCGTGAGGTGGGGGGTTATGCCAGACTACCTGGGGGAGCCCAGTGGAACCACAGGGTCCTTACGAGAAGGAGACAGGAGGATCAGAGTCAGCAGTGGGCGAGAGGGGAGCGATGTGCCCGAAAGACAGAGGAAATGGCCACAAGCCAAGCGGTGTAGGGGCGACCACCACCAGCTGGAAAAGGGAGAGGAAACAGGCTCTCCCCTCGAAATCTCTAGAGGGAACAAGCCCAGCTGACCCCTTGCCACTAATCCGGTGAGACCGGTTCTGGACTTCGGGCCTCCAGAACTGCAAGGTAACAAATTTGAGTTGATGTAAGAGACCACAGTGGTTACATTTTGTGTATCAACTAGGCTATGGGGCCCGGCTGTTTGGTCAAATACTACCCTACACTTTGCCCTACAGGTGTTTCTTAGACGTGATGAGCATCTCCGGTCAGGCGACATAAAGCAGCTCGCCCTCGACAACACGGGTGAGCCCCATGCCGTCAGCTGACGGCTGGAAGAGCTAAAGCTGAGGCCTCCCAGTGCAGACTGGACTCTGCCCCCGGCTGTGGGTTGAGCTGCCAGCCTGCCAGGCCGCCCCCCAGATTTCTGACCCGCCAGCCCCCACAATCGCAGGGGCCAAAAATAAATCTCTTTACACACGCGCACTCGCACACGCACACACACACATCCTCCTGGTCCCTATCGGTTCCGTTTCTCTGGAGAACGCTGACTGTCACAGCCCCCGAGTTCACAGTGATCTGCTACAGCAGCGTCGGGAAACTAACCCACGGTGTAAACAGGAAAGACACCTGGCTTTGCCCGCCTCCGACAGGGACGTTCTCCACGCCGCATCCTCGCCTGCGAGGTCGTATATGTTCACCAGCGTGGCCTCGGAGCATCTCAGCGGTGGTTTGCTGCCCTTCTTTGGAAGGGAGAGTGCAGGCATCGGCGCTTCCTGAGTGAAATTGTTAGCGGCGTTTTCGAAGTGATCCAGAAAATATCTGGTAATGAGTTCGAGGTTTGTCTTTAGAGGATTTTCCTTTGCCTATCAGTGGAAGAAAAAGTATCGTTAATTGCACGTGCAGCTTCGCAGGAAGGGCGATAAAGATGGCTACGCTACGTCTTTCGAGTAAGATTGTCAACTTCTCGGTCCCACGTTCTTTGAGGAGACAGCCACCACCGACTGCCGACCGGGCGTGAGGGGCCGGGGTGCGACAGAGACGAGGACGAAAGTCTCCACCCCAAGAGAAGGAGCCTCCCGGGCGTAAGCCAGGCGGGTCAAGTGCAGTTCGGATCTCCTTGTGCTTTTTTCTCCCAGGAGTGACTCTGTGACATATGTGCCCTTTCACTTAACAAATGAAGGAAGCCTCTAGGGATTGCTGGCTCCCAAGTCTGCAAGTATCTGGGGCCTGAATGTCCCCTCAGTCGGTGCGTCCTGCACCTGACCTTGGATGCGGGGACTTCAGGAACAGTGCGTCAGCAGCTTACGGCAAAGAACACCGAGGGGTCCCGGTCAGGGCTGACTTGGTTCACACCCCGGACTTAAGAAAATAAAAAGACTCAATGAAACGCTTCAGCAGTCGGTTTTAGAGATGAATAAAATCAGCACTCCCCAACCCTGACTGCACCAAATATTACCTTAGCAGAATTTTTAAATTATACATCCCCAAGCCCTGCCGAGTCTCACGAAGCCAAAACCACAAAGATCAGAGCCTGATTTCTTTTCAAATTCCCCTAAGAAATGTGGATAGACACAGGTGTCCATGCAGTGACGCCCCAGGCTGGCCTCTGGGGCCAGGCCACGGAACCTGTCAGGGCCCACCCCACTTGCCCAGAGACGCCAGGCCCCTGGGAAGTGCAGCCAGACACGGGCATTTAGGGAGTCTGCAATCAGAGCAACGAAGCACCAAACAGAGAGCCCAGCCTGGGGGGGCCCAGTCTGGGGGGAGCCTGGCTTGGGGGAGTCAAGTATAGAGGAGCCCGGCATGGAGGAGCCCAGGCATGGGGGAGTCAGGTATGGGGGAGCCCTTGGGAACATCCAGTCCTTCCCCTTCCTATTGCCCTGACCTACACGGCAGAGCTCTGGGGCCACAACACAATCTAAAAAATGTGTTTCGAATGAAGTTAAAGACAACTAAGCACTACTAGAGCCATCTTAAGGAAAAAAACAAACGAACTTTTTGGCCAACCCAATATACAGGCACTTCCTATCATATACTTAATATTAATAGGAAAAGACAAGTTACTGGAATTAACATGAAATTTCAGGGCTTCCCTAGAATCACACCAGCTCTGTATGAATGCCAAAGTCATTATACAGTAAATAGATTAATAGGTATTTTTTCTATAAAATATAAGTTCCAAGTCATTGTATAACAGCAAATAACTACTGTATAAATCAAACAATCAGGGTACTTATCAATATCTAATGAAAATATCTTACATATCCTGAGATAATAGTTACCTTAGGGAGACTATATTATAGCAAAACAATTTAAGCAGCAAAACAATTTAAGCAACAAAACAATTAAAACAAAATAAAGTAACTTGAATGGGAAATATACCTCTAGAAAATTAGGTAAAGTTGCATTTACATTAAACGCCCACTGCACCAGAAAGGTTCATTGGGTTTCCTGGTGAACCGTCTCCCTCCCTGTGGAGAAATCTTTCTAAAATGTACAGTCCACTCTCCTGCCTCGAAATGTGGCAGATGGAGGATTTCTGGGTCTCTGCTGCCTGGGTCAGTGGGCGCCTCTCCACCACAGGGGGTCCCCAACCTCCCGGCCTCAGTCCCGGGTCGCACAGCAGGAGGTGAGCTTGAAGGTAATGCACTGGCCTCATCCCAACCACACCCCCCACCCAGTCCGTGGAAAACTGTCTTCCACAAACCCGCCCCCAGCGCCAAGCAGGTTGGGGGACCGCCACAGTCTATGGGACTTCAGCTCACTGCATAGGGGAGACGGAAGGGCCGCATGTCGCCCCAGGCCCCAGGGGATGTCACCTGGCTGCCACTGCCCTTTCTCCGCCGAGGGGAGCACAAGGTCTTCCTTGGGGCCTCCTGAACGCTCCTGTAGGTTGATGCCGGTTGGCTGAGGTTCATAGGTGTGCTTGGAATCCCTTCACCTTACGGAGGAGACCCGCCCGAGTTCCTCCCTGGGCTAGCAGGATGCGCACACCACGCGGGTGGTTCCCAAGCTATTCTGAGGCTCCCCCAGGTGTCTCGGAAACAGCCTCCCAGGGCTGGGGTGCCCCCCCACACCAACTCAGTCTGCTACTGTTTCACTGGAGAAGAGAGTTACAATTATAGAAGCTTAAGCACCACTACCAGCACAGGATGGAACCGGAAGGCCAGGCTGCAGCCTCACTCCCTCTGCGTAGCTGCCGGTGCAGCCTTGGCCAGCCACCTCTCCCTGGTCCGGGGCTCCCTGGCAGCGTCCCCAGTCTACCAGTGGCTTGGGAGCTGCTCACCTCCGCCCCGGAGGGCTGCCCCAAAGGCCAGGGAGGCAGGACCCCCTCACCTCCACCTCAAACAGGATTGGCCCCGGTCCTTGTTTTCCATACTGAACTTCTGCGGGAGATATTTTATTGCCTTTATAAAAAACTGCAATAAATGCTAAACACGATCATTAGATTCTTGCCAACGCGGACACTGTGCCCTAACCCATGCTGGAGAGCCGTTCTCAAAGCCAACCAGAGATTCAGTCTTCACAGCAGAAAGCGCAGTTGGGTCTGAATGGCAGCTTCATCCCCTGCACACTCTGTCCGTCCGTCCGTCCGTCTGTCACATGACCCAGAAATGCACGCTGACTATTCACCACATCACCAGCACCACGGCGAGTACAGGGACACGACAGCGAACCTAGCCGACGCCATCTCCGGGCTCCCGCTGCGGTCTCGGACGCAGGGCAGGCGGACACTGACTACGCATCGCACAGATACGCTGTCACACCCTTGGCGGGCACAAGGGAGGAGAACCACAGGGTGCCGTGAACGCCGGTGATGCGGTGGGGGGGCATTGAGGCTGGGGGGCCGGGGAAGCCTCTCCCACCCCCACCCACTCTCAACCCCAACGCCCCTGGGGGAGCTGAGCCCAAGCTTCGCTTCTGCCCGGACTAAAGAGTAAGGTACCACTCAGAGCTGAAGGAGGAAACTGTTAGGCGGACAGGGAATGGAAAATTCTAGTGTAACCGTACACTATATTCTTAAGGAAAGTCTGGCTAAAATTAGCCTGCGCGGGGAGGAGGGAGCACAGGGAACAACTGTTACAGATTCGGGTTCAACGTGAGCCTCCTAGCTGGGCACGCGCAGCAGGCTCCTGGGGCGGCCCGGGGGCCTGGCTGAGGCTGGAAAGGTGACTCACACTTGGGACTCATCAGCGCTCACGGCGGCCGTTTCTCCCTGACCGCAGGTGCGCCCCCCCCTCCGGCCCCCGGCCCCCGGCCCCCCTCCTGCTCCCCCCGTCTCTGAGGGCTTGGCAGGGCCCCTGTGTGCACAGACGCGGCCAACCTCGGTTCCAGAACACCACGTCGCACGCTAACAGCACACACCTTGTTCTCCTTGTAGAGAAACTCCAGATGCAAAACCTTGCGGAGGTTGTTCCGGCTGTTGATGCTGAGGTCAGTGCGCGGGCGCTCCTGGTCCATGGTCACGCTCGTCCTCTTCAAGCCCTGAGGGGAGAAACCCGAACCACTGTGTACCGTGTTTAAATCAAAACCCTCCGTCTCTCCCTCTCCGACCAGGGAACAAACAACAGACCGCTGGGGTTGATGAGGACCATTCTCACCCCGCTGGCTTCACAAGGAGGTTGCAGAGGCCAAACCCTGGCTGGAGAATGTATTGTTATGTAACCTTCACAATTGACATCATCTTCCTAATTAATATTCTGGATCTGACGACGACGGCCGCATGGGCTGAGCAAAGTAAGCTGGCCTTGTCAGACCATGTCACAGAAAAGGAAAGGGAAATGCAGCTAACTGACTCACCAAGTGCGGCTCAGGAGCCCTGGGTCTGGCCCTCGTGTGGGGGCTGCAGAATGCAGGAAGCTTTAAAAGCAACCAAAAGGAGAAACATACACAAAAGGCCAATATCCATCCCTCTCTTGTCTCAGATGGGGAGCCAGGGCTGACTCACCCGGGGCAACACGGCGGAACCATCGGCGGGCTTTCTGCCGGGCACAGCCTGTGTGCGTCAGGACGCTGGGACCTGGGCCACAGCAGGCCGCCCTCCATCATCCAGATGTGAGGGCCCCCCCCCCCCCCGCTGGCAGGCCCAGCTGAGACACACTCTGGCAGTGGGAAGTGGCGTTCCCCCAGAGCCCAGCTTCTTCCTTTGAAAACTAACCGCAGCCGCTCTGGCTGCCCGCCGCGCCAGGCCATGCTGATCCTCAGATGGTGGAGGATGGGGCCCAGATGCCTGGCAAACAGCCCCGCCTGGCACCACGAGAGCCCTTTGCTCTGGAAGGACCCAGGCCTCCCCGCCAGACAGGCCCCGACATCCCCCCTGGCCTCTGTGTTCAGAGCTTGGAGGCGGGGGCTCTCGCTGCTGGGAGAACAAGACAAAACCTGCTGTCGGCCACGCGGGGAGGTGAGAACTGGTGAAACAAGAGGTAGGAACACAGGCTTGAACCAAAGAGAATAAAAAGAAAGCCTTGGGCAGGGGTGGGGACAGAAAGAAAAGGTGGCGTGGGTTGGGAACAGGTGGGGACGTTCCTGAGAGCACTGGGGACAGTCACCGGGGAGCAGAGGTGAGGCTGGAGAGGGGGCACGAGCATTTCATCTGGGCTCGACCACGGCCCTCCCACCCCTCTGCGTGCGGAGGGGAGAGCTCCACAGTGAGGGTCCTCCCCTGCTGGGTGACTGCGGGTGGAGAGCTCAGATCAGCAAGTCTCGGCACCTCTACCAAACTCTCCGGGATCGGGGTGCGCGCTGGCCCCTGAAAATCACTGGGCAGGGGACACGAACGCCCTCGGGGATCACCCAGTCCTCCTCGGCCCTGCCCGGGGCCCACTTAACCTTCACTCACTTAACACACATCTGCAGTGCACCTACTATGTGCCAGGCTGTTCTAGGGGCAGGAGATACAGAGGGAAAAAGGCAGAGTCCCCCATGGCCCATGAGACTGACATCTGCTGAGGAAGCAGGCCATAAACAAGGCGTAAGCTTACGGCTCGGTGGCTGCTAAGACGCACGACTGTGGAGACGGACAGTGGGAGCAGAGACGACGACAAAGGGCACAGTTTTAGACAGTCAGCTACTTATTGAGCATCACGCTCGTGCTCACTCCAGTCTTCTAGTTTCCCGTCCGTGACATGAAGGGAATGGACCACTGGCCCACGAGTTCAGCTGCCGGGGGCAGAGTGAACAGAGCACAGGCCTGGCCCTCCTGGGGGTCACAGTAGACAGGGCTGAGGGGCTGTGACACGGTGGCAGGAGACAGGAGTGAGGCTCAAGAACAGTTCATGTCAGACTTTGGGGGGGGGCAGTGAGCTGGAAACGAGGACGGCGGGGTACTTGGAACTGACACTAAGGAAAGGGCAGTGCCGGCAATGACAAGCCTAAGGCACAGTCACGGGGAATGGTGGCACGGTAGGATGGGACGAGTCACTGCAGCAGAGGGGCCATGGACCTGGGAGGCCGGGGCACCAGGAGAAGCACCTCGGCGGATCCCAACATCGCCAGGAGGCTGTCACGACTCTCCCTGAGAGGAGGTCACACTCGGTGAGTTCACAGAGGCCAGTGTAGCTGGGTATGACTCGGGGTCAGGGCATGGGATCCGAGAGGGGGCAGGGAGCCGGTCGTAGCCAGCCTTGAAGGCCCCGGTGAGACCTTCGCTGGGAATCCACTCCAGTTGGAACAGGAAGCTCAGGGAGGGTCTGGAGCAGAGGAAGGTGACATGGTCTGCCCCGCTCACCCTGGGCACGTTTCTTCGCCGCCTAACTCTCGTGATAATCTCACTGGACCGTCCCAAGGATCTGAGAGAGCAAACAGGCACCTAGAAGGGACCTCGAACCACGATGGGGACTCTCATGATTATAACTGCCGGGCCCGCCTTGCGCCAAGCCCCACGGGGAGTTCGTGGTCTCTGGCCCGGGCAGAAGACAGTGAGAAAAGCCGTCAACCTGGCCTGCAGTCCCCGCTCTCAGTGACTTTCGGGGAGACTGCGGGCAGCCCCTTTCCTCTCTCAGGGCCTTAACGTACCCAAATGAAAAATGGGGTGAACCAGACGACTGTCGAGGTTCAGGGGTTGGCTCTGGGGCAGGGGAGAAAGGCAGGCGTATAAACTGTAACATGCACGTCGGTGAGCAAACCAGACAAGACAAGCCCGTCATTCCAACGGGCGCTAACCCGAGGAGACCTCTGGGAGGACGCAGGACTCGGGTGGGACAGGGAAGAGCACGAGGAAGAAGGTACAAGCGAGCCTGGGACGGGGAGCAGAGATCAAGGGGAGCCTTGGTGTCAGGTGAGGGCCCTGGAATCTGTCTGGACTCAAAAACGAAAAGGCACGAGGAAAGCTCTGGGAGTTCTGCTTGGTGACCAGACTTTTAAAAAGTGACAGCAGTGGCCAGCCTCTTGGGGTGTGTCACTGATAATCCGATGTCGTGCTGGGACTGGGTGATGAAAAGTCAAGTACCCATGAAAATAAAGCAGATGCAATGAAGCCACATGCTTTTAAAAGGTGTTTTAATAAACATACATGTTTAAAAAGCAAACAGACTTCCAGAACAGGTGCACCTCAGAGATGGGGAGAAGACAATGTTGAATACCTACTATGTGCACCATACAATGCTGACGGGCTGCCCATATACCATTATTAATCCTCAGTATAAATCTGCCACGGGAAAGTCTTCTCATTCCCGTGTTACAGGCAAGGAAACCGAGGCAGTGAGTAGCGCACCCAAGCTCACGCTGCTAGCTCGTGGCGGACATTTGAACTGCCCTGACTCCAAGCCCTTCCCTTCCTCCATTCAAAACATTGTTGTGTGTGTGTGTGTGTGTGTGTGTGTGTGTGTGTGTGTTAATCCCAGACAAGCGCCCAACGCCGCGCCATCCAGGACACCACGAGGACCCAAGACACGTGGCAGGTGGCCAGCCTTCAGCCACTGTGCAGGAGTAACGGGGGGCATCCCTAGGCTCTCCTTCGCCGTCACCCCCAGCCACCTCTTTCCTGGGGTGCCCTCACCTCCACTGACAGGGCAGAGGAGAGCCAAGGACCTCCCCAACCTTCGGTCACTCCAAAAACTCTCCCGGGACAAGACAACAGAACTTAAAAACAAACCCCACTGCAACGACTGAGCTGACGATGAACGTGACTGGCGGGTCTGACTGTCAAGAACTTTTCTAGCCCTTCGGCCTCCCTTTTTGGGGGCAGTTCTTCCTGGCGGCACAGAGTCTCGGGCTGGGCTAGTCAGGGAGAAGGCGCTGGACTTTCGCCCCTGGGCCGCGTCCCGCCACCTCCGGGCCGAGAGGGGACAAGCCATGGGAGGGCTGCTGCGCTGCGGCCCTGCTTGCGGGAAGTGCGCGGGGACAGAAAGCCGGTCCTGGGAATTGTAGCTCCCCCATCCCAGCCCAGGAGAGTGGAGCTGCTGTCGGGCACCTCTCGGGCAGGCAGCGGACAGGGGAAGGTCTCCCTCCCCGAAGGGGCAGAGGTTGCAGGGAAGTCCCCAGGGTGCCCCCAAATTAGAGAAACTGCCCCGCGCTGCGGAGGGATCGCCACATACCTTTCTGCTGAGGAACTCCCTCACGAGGGAGGCAGCCACCTCCTCCACGAAGAGGCTGTCCATGCTGCCTGCCCTGCCCACGAGGTCACGGCAGCCCCAGACCCCCGGGCCGGTTGGCCAGTATGGCCGCGTTGCCTTGGCGACGTGGTCTCGGCACCGAAGCTCCGCCCCTTCCCCCGGCTGGGCGCCTGGCGGGCGGGAAGGGGCGGGGCGTCCTCTCCTACGAGGCAGAAGCCCTGGGCAGCCCAGCAGGCCCTTGGGGGCTCTGGCTTGAGTCCTGGCTCAGACCCTGTCCGTCTGGGTGGCCTACAACGAGCCACCGCTCCAATTTGAGTCTCCATTTCCCAAGACGGGCAGTGGGGAAGTGCCTGCCTCCTCGATCCTGGGAGAGAAAACCCACAGGCAGGGGGCCCCAGAGGTCTACCGGCAGCACCGGAGCTGGCTCCTGGGGTCGCTGGAGACCCACTGACCCTGGCTGTCCTGGACTGCGACGGGCTAGAAGCCCGGGGCTTGGCCTACTCAGCGCTGAAATTAAAGGGCAATCCCTCCCCACTTAGTGCCTGCTTTCCCATAAGGAGACTGTTTGTTACTGAGCACCAAGCATTTTACATGCATTATCACCTCTTGAATCCTCCCACTTCCAGGCAAGATGGTTACTACTGGCTCCCTTCTTCAAAACACGACACTGAGTCCTGGCTGGCTAGCTCAGTTGGTTAGAACACGGTCCCAGACATACCAAGGTTAAGGTTTGATCCCAATTGGGGCACATACAAGAGCCAACCAATGAATTTCTCTCTCTCTGTCTCTCCCTCCCACCCCCGTCTCTCTCAAATCAATGTTTAAAAATTAACAAACAAACAAAAAAAACACTGAGATTCAAAAACGTTTACATTTTGCTGAAGGTCACACAGCTAGGAATGGGCAAAGCCGGCTGCCAGCCAATCCCATGCCTGTCCCCAGTACCAGCTGCCTCAGACTCAGTGGCTTGGGTGCCCCGTTCACAATCTTGGCCCCATGGGCACACCTCCTGGTGTGCTAGTGTGCTAGTGGCTTAAACAACAGAAACGTACTTTCTCATAATTCTGGAGGTTAAGGCTCCCAAAGCAAGGGGTCAGCAAGCTTGGAATCTTCTGGGGCCTCTCTCCTTGTCTTGGTCATCCCCCTGTGTCTTCACATGGCCTGTCCTCTGTGCATGTCTGTGACCTAATCTCCTCTTCTTAAAAGGACACCAGATATACTGGATTAGGACCCCCCCCCCGCCCCAATTATCTCATTTTAACGCCTAGGCCACTTTAGAGGCTCTGCCTGCACACACAGCCGCATTCCGCGGTACTTACTGCACTTCAGGACGTCAGCACATGGATTGGGGGGCACGACTCAGCCCACAGCGCCTGTACTGTTACTTATGAATTATCTTTAACCAGCACACGTATTTCTAAGTTTCTTTCACAAGGCAAGTGCTTCCAGGGAGTACTATTCACAAAGTCACACCTCGGGCATATTGATTAAATCTCTAACACACATTAAAACAAATACATAGCTGGGAAGGTTTGCATCCATCTCAAACTCCTCTTGCAATCACACCTGGGAATCCAGCAGCCCACGCTACGCAGGCTCCCGAGGAAATAACACCAAAGGTCCCTCGCTAATCTCTGGGTATCTTCCCCCAGACGGTGCGATGGTGCCTTGGGACACTTCGTGCTGTGCGACAGCAGCTGATGGCGAAAGTGGAAGGCAGAGCTGCAGGAGACCCCATGCCCTCCGGCCAGAGCCCCCGCTGTTCCAGCCACAAATGCTCTCTAGTGGATGGGCAATAACACGGACACCCAGTGTGAGTTGCATTTCAGATAAACAATGGGTATTTGTTTAGGGCAAGCATGTCCCATGCAATGTGAGGACACATTTACACTTTTTTTTTAAGATTTTATTTATTTATAGAGAGGGAAGGGAGGGAGATAGAGAAAGAGAGAGAAACATCAATGTACGGTTGCTGAGGGTCATGGCCTGCAACCCAGGCACGTGCCCTGACTGGGAATCAAACCTGTGACACTTTGGTTCGCAGCCTGCGCTCAATCCACTGAGCTATGCCAGCCAGGGCTTCACATTTACACTTTAAAAACATCATTTTATTTGAAATTCAGTTAACAGGGAACCCTGTCTTCATATTTGCTAACTCTGCCAACCCTAGTCTAGAGGCAGTGGTATGCTCAGCCAGGGGTCACGTTTTCAGGAATTGGGGGGACAGTTGTTACACCACTGGGAGCTTGCAGTCAACGGTGGTGGGAGCATTTACACCAGGGGAAGTGGCACTTTCCATAAAGCACCTACCACCCACTTTTTTTATATATGTTTGCTTCTTGTCTTTTTAGAGCTGGTTGTGAGCACTGTTTACCAGTCCTCCACTGTTCAGAGCCCTCCTGGTCTTACACACGCTGTATGAAGCCTGGAACCATGTCCCTGGGTGCTCCACCATCGCACAGGAGCCAGAGAACATCTCAGGACAGCCGCCAGGCTTAATGTATCGGAAAAGGGAATACTCACTCCTATGACCCTAGAGTGAGGCATGTCGGAAACTTAGAACTCTAAAACAAGGATATTTAAAATCTCAGAATTTCCTGGCTGCTGGAGGTAGGGTCATGTGAGATAGCTATGTTTCCTTATGGCCACCAGAGGGCAGGGCAGGGCAGAAAGCTTTCCGCAGAGGTGAAAGGAGGGGGCCTACGCTGAGGCCTCCTTAAAAAAGAAGTCTCCACGCTCAGGCTACCTTTTGGCCCATGGAGGTTCTGCCCGGCCTCATGCAGCGGAGGAGCTGTGAGCTGGCACACCCAGAGGAATCTGGGAACTCTTGGACAGGCAGGGCCGCCATGAAACCAGAAGCCTCCTATCTCTGTGGGTCCTGGGCACTGGATTTTACTGGGCACTCCAGGGTCCCAGAGACTAGGTATTTCCAAACCAGTGTGCATGGGGTCACCTGGGAGCCGGCTAAGCTATGGATTCTGAGCCAGCAGGGCCCGAGATTCTGCACTCCCAACAAGCGTCCGAGTACTGCTGCTGCTGCTGCTGGTGCAGGGACCACACTGTGAGAAGCAAGGAGTGAGCAGTGCATCTTGAATTCTGACCTTTCCCCGGAACCACAGGGGGCCTGGGCATGCCTTGGAGTGGGCACACCTGGCCCCTCTGGCTCCTGTCTCCAGGTGAGAGAGGGAGGGGGCTCCAGCATTCTGCCAAGAAAATGTGCCCCACTCCCCTTGTCTTACCCCGGGCTCGGTGGTCTCCCCTTCCTCTGCTGATACGTCATTAGGAACAACCAAGAATCACCGTTCCTTCGAGAACTCCACCAGAGAGCCACCCTCTGCCTGTCGGCCCTGCTCGCTCTCCTGCCCTCCTCCACGTCCCTGGCCTATGGCCTCTCTAACTTAGCAGGTTCAAAGGCAGGCTCCCCACCCCCAGACCTGCTGCCCCTCCCCCCACGTGGGTCTCAGTGAGGACACGCCTCCATCCCTGCCTCCTTCCTCTCTCTCACACTCCCCTGCCCCTGTGCAGCCAGGCCTCTTGATGCTACCTCCTAAATAGCGTTCTTCTTCCTTCTGCTTCTTGTTCTGTGTCTGCAACTCTGTAGCTCTCTCTCTCTCTCTCTCACCACCCTCTCCCTGCAGTGACTCACTTCCTTGGTCCTGTCCTCTCCATTCTTGGGACTGACCCTGCACTGAGCAGGATCTAGAATTTTGAGGAGCCCACACACCCCTTTCCCAGAGGAGGCTCAGCCGCCCGCCCGCTGCCCTGTCTCTGGTGCTGCTGGCTCTGGAGGCACGACCTACATGCTGGACCCTAAGCTTCCCTGTGTCCAATGGGCAGTGAGCCCGCCCATCCGGAGGGTCCTTGAGCCCTCCTCTGGGTGTGGCTGCCCTCTCCTGGCCCTGGCATCCGCGGGGAATAGGTCCCGTCCTGCTGGAGCCAATTCAGAGTTTAAAATAGCAGGGAATCTAGAGGTCCAAGAAAGGAAAATGCAAGCTTCAGCCGAGGAGGCTGGAATTCAGGAAGAAAAAGGACGTCCACCTCCGCCCCACCTCCCCACTCTGCGCTGGCCCAGAACCAGGATCCCTCCAACTTTCTCAGGGGTCACCCCATGTACATACCCCAACACTCCAGCCATTCTGGCTTTACTCAGCCCTCCCTGCCTCAGGGCCTTTGCCCGTGCGTTTGCTCTGCTGTGCACGCACTTGGCCTTGGCTGTGGCCATACTTTGTAGAACCTCCTCTTCCCTCTAAACCCAGATAGTTCATAGCTCCACCGAGAGCCAGCTTGCCTTCCCCCTTCACCACCTTCCTGGTGCCACGTGGTTTTGCAAGGCTCTGTTGACACGTGACACGTCAGCTTGTTCCCACCAGCCTGTGAGCCCCATCGGCTGGGGACAGGCCTTGATTACTTCTGTCCAGGCAGAGCCGGAACATGACAGTGTCAACACAAGAATCTGCGCAAGTGAGCACTCCTCTCACGCAGCCATTGCCCAATCAGCACATTGTCACTGGTCTCAGGGCCCCTGCTTCAGGAAGTGTCCCTGGAGACCTCAGCCCTCAGGAGTCCTTCCTGTTGCTCTAGCACAGCAGGGGATGGGCATAGAAAGTAGAGGTCAAAGGCGTGGCTGCCTGGATTTTTATCCTGTCCCTGACACTCAGGTAGGCACACTTGGCCACTTACTTAAGCTCATTCTCTCCACCTGTTTCATCAGATACAAAATGAAGGTGATAGTGGTGGCTAACTGAGTTCATGTCTGTTCAGTACGCAGCCGAGCACCTGGCCCAAGGTAGTGCTGGAAGAGTCAGTCGTTGTCAGCACTCTCTCCACTATAACTCCGCGTGTGCCCCGCGAGCAGAGGAGAAGCCCCGCCCTGCTGGCATCCAGGGACCGAACGCACTGTGGCTCAGTCAGAAGTGCCTGGAGGGTGGGCTCCAGCTCTCAGAGCTGGGGGACTCCGTGAGGAGGTCCGTGAGGGGCTGGGGGACCCCTAGGAAGTCAGTGGCCTCTATAGAAGGTAACTTCTGGACTTCTCTTTAGTCCTGAAGACAAGGATGCCCAGGCGGAGGATGGGGCTGTGATGTGGGTATGTGGCTGGTGCCTCTGGGAGATGGC